CCCAGCGCTGTAATAACTCTGCATTTAACCAGAAGAAAATAAATCTACGTAAAGCTGATTCCTGTTTCCTGAGTGTTACTTCTTGGGGCCTTCAGATAAAAGAACCGGTTGAATCTAAAACTCTTATTAAGCAAAAAACCGAATCAACAAACTGTCAAATGTGGACTAATAAGGCTTATGTTATACTCCACCACGTAGGCTAGAAGCATGTTCACAATATAATGCTCGCTGTCTCAAGTGCAAACAAAGTCGAGGAAAAAAGAATTAAGCTGCAAATTTGCTAGCTGTCTGGTTTACTCCTTGCTGTCTTCTCTTATCTTTTTACACCAAAACACCAATGCTTAGCTGCATATGCGTTATCCTTTGGGCTGTATATATGCATTAGGCCAAGCTGTTACCGTCAGGGGGTTTAAGCTAAATAATGTATGTGTGGGCTGGCCTTGAAGTTCACTGTATAAAGGTACCGCCCACATGCAAATAACAGCCAATCACAAAAAGCATGCCAAAATCTCAGAGTGTATCAAAAATGTGTATGAAACTGCACTTTACCCACCATCCTGAGGGGACGCTGTGCTATACACTGGGATACACAAAAATCAGGTCAAGTGGTAAAGTAGGACTTTCGAAGAAAAGATGTGAAAATGTTATTTAGACACTAACAAATGCAGTCACACTCTCCGAATTGTGAGGACCATCGAATGGACTCAACATTACACTAGGGTCCAACTTCCCAGGTACGTAGTCAGGTGATTTGTCCCAAGATACCATAAAAACCAACACACACACACACACACACACACACACACACACACACAGAGAGCCTACTGTGCTTTTAATGCCACAGATGGGCTCTCAGAGGGGAGTGAATGAGTTTTTCAAGGAGCAATAGAAAACTGTAGGGAGAAAGATAGTCTGCCATGTGTGTGTTTGGCTGTAGAGGTCTGTGAATAGTGACAGTGGGGAAAAGGCTGTCAGAGTGGTAATTCAAAGCTCTGGCTGCACCCATCAACACCAACATTGGGTGAGAAGAATGGTGCCTTGTTGAAGAGATTTTCTATTACACAATGTGCTGCTAGGAGCCCTGCAGCACACCATACATTATGTCAGGAGTGTGTATGTGTGTGTGGCAGGGTATTGATGTCAGTGTAACTGAGAAAGACAAAGAGGAGGATAGATGCACATGTAACATTACTCTTTCTTTTAAAGTGAGATTAGATTGATATATCACTGCATTTTGCATTGTGTGCCACCTGTTCCATTTTGGAAAGATTTTTTTTGGATTGATTCACTGTTCTTTCAGTGCAACTGGAGCTAATACTGCTGGAGTGTCTGGCAGAAGGCTGATAGAAAATGGTTAGGGTTAAGCAACTGAATTTATTTAAAAGTAGCCTTAATTTTAGGAAATGCATATACCAGTACACAGTGTTGGGGAGTAGTGAACTAGCTTGCTGGTAGTTCAACTACATTCAGTGGAACCTTGGATTGTGAGTAACCCGGTTTGCGAGTGTTTTGCAAAAAATTTTGATTCGATATACGAGCGAGGTCTCACAATACAAGTAGCATATCTGCCGAGCATCACGTGACATAGGTCACAACTGAGCCAATGGGTCTCGCACTTCACTCGTATAATCAATATCTGTACTGCAACAATGGCCCCTCACGCCAGCCACGATTCTTTTCAGAGGTAAAGTGCAGGTTAATTTGTTTTACTTTATACTGTATTTTGTATTACTATAATCATTTTTATATGGATAAGTGGGTGTGAAACGAATCCTCTGAGTTTCCATTATTTCTTATGGGGAAATTCGCTTTGATATACGAGTGCTTTGGATTACAAGCATGTTGCTGGCATGAATTATACTCGCAATCCAAGGTTCCACTGTAGTTAAATTACATTTGTGCCATATTTTGTGTAGTTAACTACTGCAAATAATGTAGGACCATAAGAGGGAAGGAATTATTGTTTATTTTTATTTTACCATTGCTACATTAATCCTAAGGGCCTTTTGGGGAGACTGTCCTGAAGTCTTGAAATCATGAGAGACCCTCCAGCATGTTTAACTGAAGGCTGCCAGCCCTCATTCTTCCACCTCTCCAACTCTTCTTCTCACATCCTTTCAATGGCTGAATCTGAACACTTCCATTCATCACTCCATTAGACTCTTTTCCATCGATTGTTGCTCCAGTCTTCGTGAACTGTTGCATATCTCTGCCTTTTCTTCCTGTCCCCCTTCTGAAAGAGTTTCCTCCGATCTAAAAAAAAAAACGAAAAACCTTTCAACAGATTATGACATGATATTTGCAGCCTTGCCACCTTTGCCCTTTTCCTTTTCTTTGCCCCTTTTTCCTCTCTTCATCTTTTTTTGGCCACTCCTTGTTTTGCTTCCTCTGCCCCTCCAGTCTTTTCTATTATTATGTTCTTTCCTCCTCCATTCTTGCTCTATTTCTTCCTTTCCCCTTCTCCTCTCCTCCTTCACACCTCCAGTCAAAGGAAGTCACCAGAGAGAAACAGGGGAGCAGCGCTGCTTGCTAAGCAGTTGAGCAAAACACATTTGCCAAGTTTTGTGTGTGATTGTGTAAGTGTGTGTATGTGCATGCACACCTCATTATCAATATTACGTTTGTGTGTGACTAAGAGAATGTCTAATTTGTGTGTATACAAGTGTGGATGAAGAGTACTCTGTCAGGATCAGAGCGTGAAGCTGCCGATGTTGTCGTGGGTGAACTCAATTACATAGCCAGATGAGGATACGTAAAGGAACACCATCTCTTTATTAAAAGCACTGACAATGGGACCAGGCAAGAGACCAAAGAGGCAGCACGGGAGGGTGACCTCGGGCGGCTGTCACTGTGGAAATGGCCACTGCCGGGAACCTAGAGCTGGGACCTCCTGTGGAGCATTCATCGTGGTGGTAACCATGGCGGGGACACTTCTGTTGGTGCACTGAAGGTAGGGGGCTTCAGTGGGGACACTTTCGTCGGCACACCGGAAACCTCCTCGTGCTGAAGGGACATTGACCTCAAGAAGCTTAACTGCAGTAACAGGCTGCCGCTGCCAGGGTGCTGACTGAGGAGGTTGCTGCTGCCGGGGTGCTGGCTGAGGAGGCTGCCACTGCCGGGGTGCTGGCTGCGGGGGCTTGGGCTGCTGGGGCTGGGAGTGGCGTCGGCGATCCGGCTGACCCGCTTGGAAACAGGTACAGGAACCGCAGCCCTACTTGACGGCCTCCTCCTGGTCCTCCCTTTCCCTGGACCCCCAGGGCAGATAGCCCACCGGGTTTCCTCGAAGGGAGAGGGTCTCTGTGCTGGATGGGAGAGTGGAGAAGCCATCTGGGCCTTTAGCTGCTGATAAATGTCCTGGGCTTCTGCTGGGCTCAGGTAGGTCTCCATGAGTTGGAGGTTGTAAAGCCGGGGGCAGAGCTTGCTAAGTTTTAGCCCCAACTCTGAAACATTGTCGGGTGTGTCCGCGGGGTCCATGTGTGGCTGGGTAAGGCTATTATGGTGAGTGTGTATGGCAGGACTAGTGATCATCTGGCTCTGTCTTCCTTGCTGGCTGTTAGGATCAGAGTGTGAAGCTGCCGATGTTGTCATGGGTGAACTCAATTACATAGCCAGATGAGAATACGTAAAGACGTATACGTGTCTGTGTTGCAGGCACCACTGTTTATCACACTGTCTTTTTCATAAAGTCCAGCAGAATGTCGCCTCCCCCTTCTTTCTCCATTCTCTGTACCCTCTACACACACATATACATACAAATGTACAGAGTCCTTAAGCAGGTGTTACTTTTTTGTCGGCACCATCCATTAGACCTAATAGGTGTATGCCTGAAAGGTTTTTAAAGAATGGAAAGGTGCATGTGGGCCACGTGTGTGTGTGTGTGTGTGTGTGTGTGTCCTGTCTGCGTTGTCTCTGCTATAGTTCATGTCTGCTTCTCTTTACAGTGGCCCAATTAATGTCATCCTTCTCACTTGCAGTGGCACTGCTCTCTTCTATTATCTCCTCCATTCCTTTCTTTGCTTTCCTGTTCTTTATTCAACTCTCACTCTTCTCCCCTTCATTTGTATTAGGTGTGTTTGTATTATTGGCCAGGTGTGATGAACACATGAGGAATTTGACTCAGGTACATCAGCTCTCAATGTGCAAAACAGTAAACCAGCATACGGCTGTGTAATATAACAAAATAGCAGTATTAACATCAATAAACAGTGCAAACAATGCAGAAAAAGCAGTATAAACAGACAGTAAACAATGCAGATAACAAAGGAATGTTCATTGAAATTAGATAAATATGGATAAAAACAGAGTACTTAAAGCTAGAGACCTCTATGACTCTGTATAATCTGTACAATGTATATATACACAGGTACTGCACTGAGGGTTATTGTCCAATCATACTGTCATGGGTTAAGTGTTCATTAGAGCGAGGGGTGTCTTAGTGCACAGTGACCTGTAACGGTGTCCAGAGGGGAGAGTTCAAACAGATTGTGTCCAGGGTGTGAGGGGTCTGCAGTGATCGTCTCCACCTTCCTTTTGACCCATGCAGTGTACAGGTCCTCCATGGAGGGCAGGCTCACACCAATGACCTTTTCTGCAGTCCTGACTGTTCGCTGAAGTCTGTACTTGTCCTGTTTGGTTGCTGAGCCAAATCCCATTTTGACTTTGGGACTTCCAGCCTGTACTCGGCACAGATGTTTCTGTACACTATGCCAGCCACTTGGTTATGGTGTTCTATGTATGCCCTGCCTGCTAGCATCTTGCACCCTGCTGTTATGTGCTGTTATGTGCTGGATTGTCTCAGGGGCATCTTTGCACCTGGGGTCCTGCCTGCCTCTGTCGATCTTGTACTTCAGCCACTTCTTCTATCTGACAGTGGTACATACCGTGCAGGGGTTTGTCCTTCCATGAAGGTTCCTGCTCTTCTTTCCCTTGTTACTCTGGTTTCTGCTGCCTGAGGTGTTCACTAAGCACGTCATCACTCGGGGCTATCTTCCTGATGTATTCATGGATCTTTGTTGTTTCATCCTGGATAGTGGCTCTCAGTTTGCAAATGCATAATTGCACATTGACTGTTGACTACTGCGCATGCTGCTCCCATGCAGCATACATACATACATACATTTATTATATTCTTATATATTTTATTATATTGCTGCATTTGCTGCTTAAAGTGCCTTAGATTTTGTGTTACTTATTCATCTACTATATATTTCATTTGTATTGTGTGGCATTCATGTGGACAGCAAAGTAAGAATTTCATTGTACAGGGAAACATGTTTCCTAACTGTGCATATGACAAATAAACACTTTGACCTTCACCTTGACACTCACTAATCCTCGGCCTCCTTCCTTCCACTTAGTGTACAGTTTCAGGATACTGGATTTGGGGCGGCTGTGGCTTAGGAGGTCGAGGGGGTCGTTTCCTAACTGGAGGATTAGCAGGTTGATTCCCGGCTTGTCCAGTAAACATGTCAAAGTGTCCTTGAGCAAAACACTGAACCCTCAGTTGCTCCTGGTGACAATACCGGTGTGTGAATGTGTGAGCGTTTGGGAGTGCGAATGGGTGGATGGCCAAGTAGTGTAGCAGTTTTGAGTGTGCTATAAAGCGTAGAAAAGTGCTATACAAGTATAAGACCATTTACCCGCCATGCATTGTAAGGAGCTTCCTTGTCTTGATGTCAGTGGCCTCTATCTCCTCCTTCGGCCAGCCTATTATGCCAGCGGGGTACCTGATGACCATCAGGGCGTAGGTGTTAATTGCCCAGACTTTGTTCTTTCCATTCAGCTGACTTCTCAGGATTTACCTTACTCTCTGCAGGTACTTGGTGGTTGCTTTCCTTGCGGCCTCTTCAAGGTTCCCATTTGCCTGCGGGATCCCAAGGTACTTGTAGCTGTCCTCAACATCTGCTATGTTGCCTTCTGGTAGTACAATCCCCTCAGTTCTACCTTTCCTCTCCTTGTTACCTTTCGACCACACTTATCCAGTCCGAATGAAAACTGATAGCAACTGGATAGCTCAGTGGTTGACAGTGCCAGCTTTGGTACAGAAGCTTGGGGGTTTGATCCCCGATTAGGGTGTGGTTAATATCCAGCATGGCCCCCAGGCAAGGTCTTTAATGCTAACTGCTTACCTCAGTGGTAATGAGAGTTGGAAACATAAGACAAGGTCTGTGTCAAATGCTGAGGAACCAGGGCAATTTGATGAGAAGTGGACTATTGGAACAAGAGCAAGACATTTATGGACAAGAGATGAGAACTTGGAATATATGAGATACTTTTGGGTTACAGCACAGCACTGCGTCAAGGATGCACAGAAGTGTTCACTCCCAGCAAGTCAGCCTGTGGCCCAACACAGAAGAAGGGAACTGAGAGCTTCCGCTGTCTGAAGCTGAAGTCATAACTTAATCACTACAACACTGGGACTCAAACTAAGTTACATTAGTAATGAGTGTACCTTAAGATAAACATGATTCAGTAATGTGAACATTTATTATCATGTTAGCCAAAGGACTTGTTCTCTAAACAAAGTTCACCACAAGATGTGATGAAAAGGAGAGGAGAGCAGGCAACAAAGACAGAGAAGGAGGAGATGAGGAAATGAAAGAAGACTAGGGGAGAGAAGAAACGATTGTGATGAACAGACAGAAGAGACAGGGAGACTGCCACAGTTATAATTAGACCTTGTGGTATGTTTTTATTCTGTGTTCATGTGCAGTAAATTACAGTGTAGTAACAAAGCCTTTCACTCAGTAAACTAACATGTTGTTATATGATGTATATCTGTCATATCTAATGATATATGTGCAAACCCCCAGAAACCATCATCCCATGCCACTCTGCCAAACCTCTTGACAGCCCATGTAAAATTTTTTAGATCCAGCACTGCATATCAGACATCAGACAGCTGTCAGTAGAAGAACGATAAAGTCTTGGGGATATTTATGATAATGACAGTCCCTTTTATTGGCCAAGTATGTTACACACACAAGGAATTTGTCTCCAGTACAGAAATGAGGCAGCCATCTGCAGCAGCAACTCACACACACACACCGATGGCAGTGTTGTTCCTGCAAAGCCATCGAGAGCAACTTGGGGTTCAGTGTCTTGCCCAAGGACAGTTTTACATGTGGACTGGAGAGAATGGGAATCGAACTGCAACAAAACGCTCTACCCGCTCTACCTCCTGAGCCACAGCCGCCCTGGTGCAGAGAACAGACTCGATGATTCCTCTGTAGAACTGTATCAGCAGCTCCTCTGCCAGCTCAGGATGTACTTCCTGAGCTGGCACAGGAAGTACATCCTGTGCTGTGCCTTATTGATGATGGTCCTGATGTTAGACGTCTACTTCATGTCCTAGGAGATAGTGGAGCCTGGGAACTTTTTGCTGCTGATACAGTGTTGCCAAGTACAGTGAGGGGTTCTTCCTGAAGTCCACTGTCATCTCCACTGTTTTGAGCGTGTTCAGCTCCAGGTTGTTGCAACTACACCACAGGACCAGCTGCTCAACCTCCCGTCTGTAGGCTGACTCATGATCGTCTCGGATGAGAACAATGACCGTTGTGTCATTTGCAAACTTTAGGAGCTTGACAGAGGGGTCCTTCGAGATGCATTTGCTGGTGTAGAGTGAAAACAGCAGAGGGGAGAGCACACATCCTTGGGGGACACCTGTGCTTATTGTCCAAGTGCTGGATGTGGTTTTCCCCAGCCTCACTTGCTGCTTCCTGTATGTCAGAAAGCTCGTAATCCACTGACAGGTGGGGGCAGGCACAGTGAGCTGGGTCAGCTTGGAGTGGAGGATGTCCGGGATGATGGTGTTGAATGCCAAGCTATAGTCCACAAAGAGGGCCTGTGCGTACGTCCTTGGAGAGTCAAGGTGTTGCAGGATGTAATGCAGTGCCATGTTCACAGCTTTGTCCACTGACCTGTTTGCCCGATAGGCAAACTGCAGGGGGTCCAGCAGGGGGTCAACAATGTCCTTCTGGTGGGCCGACACCAGTTTTTCAAAGGATTTCATAACTACAGATGTCAGGGAGACAGGTCTGTAGTCGTTCAGTCCACTGATGGAGGGTTTCTTGGGGAATGGAATGATGGTGGAGCATTTGAAGCAGGAGGGGACCTCACACAGCTCTGGTGACCTGTTGTAGATGACTGTGAAGATGGAGGCCAGCTGATCTGCACACACTTTCAGGCAGGAGGGGGTCACGCCATCTGGGCCTGGTACCTTTCTGATCTTTTGTTATTTAAAGAGGCCAAGTGCTTGATTTGAAAGGAGGATTTGTTGGGTTCCAGACCTTACTGTGTAAAATGCCCTGAGAGGATTTTTGATGTGATTTGGTTCTATACAAATAAAATTGAGTTGAATTGTAATGAATTTAACT